AGTTGAATAGCCCTGGTATACAATCTCTGTTCAGCACACGATGAATGGGGCAACACTAAAGTTAATTTAAGATCTAACAGATTTACAGATCAGATTTATTCCATATTTGAATGGTGGGGGCTGTGGTAGCTTGGTGGTCAGTGAAGCTGCAGGTGCACGCCCACGTTGTGATCCAGATAATGTAAGCAGGCTTCAACTTTATGTCTTTTCGTTTCTAACATATTCTAATCTAACTTGGATGGAAACATATATATTAAGTCTTGTTATGCTTCATTGAAATGGAATAAAATACGACTCCAGTGCCCTTGTGCCTGTGGGAATGAAGCTAATAAAGCAGCTCGTCCTGATGGTAGTACGGCCGTGTGGGCACAAGCCTCCACCAAACAGTAAAAGTAGTAATAAATTACTCTTTGGAGCAATATAACGTGTCAAAATAACTTCCAGAAGTAAACTTCGGATGACGCGTTAAGCTGAAATTTCCTCTTAGATGTGTGGAGCATTCCTAAACGATCAACCCCAGAAGGCCTCCTGAGCTCTATAAATTTCTCCACGGGGTAAACGGACACGCTGGGTTGGATTAAAATCAGCTGCGATCCGACATAAATCTCAGCAGCAACTTTCACAAGAAAAACACACAAGAATCCCCCCCTCTCCTTCCTATGAWATCACTCCAAAATAAATAGAGCTAATGTGCGGATTCCAGGAAGGAGCAGCTTGAAGTGACAGAGCAGCGAGTAAGTAAACAAATCATCTGTTCACTTCAGTTTCTTATTGGACGCTCGTGACTACAGGCACCGGCTTCGGTTAGCTGTTCCACCTTCATCCCCTTTAATCCCCCAGAAACCGTATAAATGTCTTTTGAAGATGAGTTACACTCCCTCCTGTTTCTTCTCTGCCTATGCTTCTGTCTTTCTACCTGCGAACATGAAAGATTTTTTTGTGGCAGCAGCAGCGACAGGCTGCGCTGGGGGGCTGCAGAGAGAGAGAGAGAGAGACAAGAGGATAGAGACGGATTGATTTCCTCCTCCAGCAGCTTCAGTTCAAAGCCAGTGAGGAGACTTCAGAGGCGCGGCAGGACCCGACATGTCCCCAGCCGGGCTGAGCTGCCTGTCTGCGGGCAGGACTTTCCCTGGGGGGCCCCGAGGCCCGGGACAGCCAGGCGGCACCAAGAAAACAATTACCCAGACAGATGAGGAAGGTGTGCATGGGCCACAAACGCACTAATTCCCAAACAAACATGACTTTAAAAGCAAACGAGACAAACTAACTTAATCATGATTTAACCCTAACGTGACTTGTTTTAAGTTTTTAAAAAAATGTCATCATGGAAAAGAAATCAGAAAGAGTTCAAACGTTCGTAATGAAAACTATGAATTCAACCACAAAAAAAAGTTATCCCGAACTTTTATTTATTTAGTTATTTGTTTATTCTAGTAAGTTTTCTATGTCAATATGCAATTCTGAAATGCGGGTATGCACTCAGTGTAAACAAATCACCTGGCTGAAATCACGTGGTAACGTATCTGCATACGTGTAAATACTAAGTAATATTAATTGTCACATTACTTGATTCTGATACGCTTTTTCATAATGACCTATTTTCAATCATTTCTGATTTTGGTGGTAAACAAACAAATGTTCACTTTTTTTTTTTTAATTTAAGGTCACGTTGAGTGTTTCCATGAGGATAAATTGCAAGGATTTTTTTCTTCTTGAATTCTCGTTCTTCCTGAGCCATCTTCATGACACTAAGCGTACCTTTATACGTATCATTTTAAGTCAGTGTTTAGATTTGCTTGTTTAGGTTCACATTATTTTCACCAATTACTGATGTCTAAACAGTAACATTAATTTACCTTCCTGAACTAAAACCTCTGCACTAACATGCATGTTATTTCCATATATTTCAAAAACATTTTGGACACTACTTTCTACCTCTTCTTTTTAGGAAATACATATTTATACTAATCCGATATTAATCAGTATCTCTTACTCACAACATACAGCTCTGTGTTCATTTAAAGAAGAGAGAAGGAATCTAGTTTTCAGTTTTAATAAATGTTTTAACATGTAAGTTCTTGCTGTTTTGAGTCTCTCATAAATATAATGTAATCAAGCCTAATTGAGAGTTCAGATTATTTGTTTTTTAATCTATGAGGTAACATTACAGTAAAACACATTGGCATAAAGAAGTGCTGCTCAGGAATTTCCCCAAACTGTTGCAGCAATCTGTTTTTAGCATTCCTGAGTTCCTGGAGTTTCTCACCTGGAGCTCTGAGAGGTGGGCGTCCCGGCTGCTCTGCTGTCTCCCTGCGAAGAATCGGCGGACCTGTGATCGGTTCTGCTGGCCGGTTGACGGTTCGACTCTCCTGGGSTGGCTGGCGTCAGGAGGAGCGCATCGCACACGGACCGGCTGAGTTCAGAGGTTTCACTCCGCGCAGCCCGACTTGTGTGTCAGCCTCCACGTTGGTGCATGTCGGTGTGTCTGCAGGCTCCTCCTTCATCAGAGAGAGAGAGGGAAAAGGAAGTTTGTGATGTTTCTCCCCCCACCTCCTCCGCCCTGAAAGAGAAACCGATTAACGCACCAGGTGGATCACAGTTGTCGGGACAATTAACAGCAGGTTACAACTCGACTGCGCCATCTAGTGTTCCTAAGATGGTAGTGTCAGTTTACAAGGTGCTAATCAGGTGAATTCAACTAAACTGCTCCAGGGGCCACAGTTACTGCAGACCAACAGCTGAGGGGCTGAACATCCAGCAGTTAAAGTTATTATGTAAATAAACCAAGTATTGCAAAGATCTGTTACCTGAATAGTTTATTTTTCTGTATTTAATCATGAATACAACATACAGAACCCATAATAGTGATAATTAAACATTATCAAAAACAAAAAGAGCACATTCTGCCTCCTATTATTAGACACAAATAATATTTTAACATCTCTGACTTGAATAATTTTTAAACCAATTTTATTCTCACTTTCAACATTTTATCTTCAACTGCTTGCAGTTTTAACTGGTTTGAGTGTTCACAGAAATGGTTTTCTTCTAGCCAAGACTCTGACGTTTCTGTAGATACCAAACATGTCTATGTTTAACTAAATGAACTTAGAGTAATTAAAGTAGAAAACCGGGGGTTTGAGCTTAAGAGATGAATGAACCAATCGGCGGGCCGAAATTTGGTCACTCACGGGCCACATCCGGCCCGTGGGCCGTCAGTTGAATAGCCCTGTGCCAAATACTGACACGTTTGATGCAGTTCAAAAGTGTATTCATATTTATTATAACCAAATTATTAGTGACCGTTGTTATGTCAAAACACACACACACACACACACACACACACACACACACACACACACACACACACCATGACTTTAATTTCACCCAACTACTTGTATTTAGGATCAGTTGAACTTCATAAACATCAAACAAACATTATGTAAAATAAAACTTAAATTCTAATCTACCAAGGATGACCAGTCTAAAACCAGTGTCAACGTGAGTGTGTTATACAGGGTCTCAGGTTATCATATACATGATTTTTTTTAATACAGTATAAATG